GCAGGCAGCAAAACCACTGAGCTAAATCCTCGGCCCACTGCTTTAATTCTTTAATCCAATGTCAAATGTTGCAGACACAGTGGACATTTTTATCTTGTTTTTGGCTTTAAAAAGAAAACCCACAGCATTTCTCTATTAAATAAAATAAAGTCTTTTGGCCTGAGGTATGTTTACTATATTAATGAAATCAATATGCATGTTACCGTTTTTAAAATAAGTGTGTATTCTAGCTGAAAATAGCTTGTCCCTTACTCATTTATTTACCGACTGTTCCCTCTTCTGGAGCGAGAGCCGAAAGGGAGCCAGGCTCTTTTCCACTCCTGCATCCTCCGTTCTTTAATAGAGCAGATGCTCAATACATATTTGTTGAATGAAAAATAAAATAAAATACATATGTGTTGAATTTTACCAAGTACTTTTCTGCCTTTATGGAGATGATCATATGAGCTTTTGCTCCTTAGCTCTAATTAACCAGATGATTTGTATAGTAGATTTCACAATATTCCACTATCTGTGTTGTTCTCGAATGAGCTTTTCTTGGTCATGATACAGTTTTTAAAATGTTCTGCTGGATTCTTTTTGCTGTGACTCTTAATATGATCTTATATTGATTGGTCTATAAATTTTGTATTTATATTCATACATGAGACTGGTGTATCATATTTTTTCAGACCCAGGAATTTTAAATGATACTAGCTTTACAGAATAAATTTGGAAGTTTTCCTGTTACTATATTCCAAAACAGTTTAAATAAAAATAGGATTATTTGATCCTTCAAGATTTTTTCCACCTCACTTTTTAATATTGAGTAAAAGGAAAGAAGAGGTCAAATTTCTCCAACATCTTACATTTTGGTCAGTGGCCAGCTGAAATTTATAACTCAAAATTTAATCCCAAATTGGGGCAGGCCATGGTCACAATCTCGCTGCTTGACACAGCTCCAGTGAAACCAGGACTCCGTCTTTTGCTCTCGCTTTCCGCGGTAGTGATTACCTTGGTGCTGTGCTCCCCGGGAAAGCACTGAAAAGGATAAAAGTCCTTACTTCGGAAATGGCTACTAGGCCGGGATTACAGGAAGAAATTGTAAATCCATTTACAGAAAAGCCCCTCACTCCTACCTCCGTGAGTAGTGGGGACCTGACATCCACATGCCCTGACTGCACAGAGGGAGACTGGGACATCAACAAATTCCTGACGCAGGCGCCCCACTGTCTGGCACCTGGTCACCCTTGGCCAACACCCGCAGGGCACACAACAGTGAGGTCTGACGAAACTTGGCCTAATGAAGTAGCCTGACCTTTCTAAAATGCTTCCTGTTCCTCAAATGCAAATCTGATAAATTAGCAAGAGTTCACATAGCACCTGGAAGAGTATTTAGAACTGGGTGGTCTAAAATTGTTTCTTAGATGATATCAGCTTTTCTTTAACTCTGTATGAAAACACACTGTGTATGGACCCACTGCTTACCAAAGCCTTGTGTAACCAAAACATATACAAGTAAAGTGGTTTCAGTGTAACTCAGACAGGCAAGCTGAGCTGCCCACCCTCCACTCAGTGTCTGCCTCATTCTCTCGTCGCCGACTCCACACCTCCTCTCAGGACCTGAACCCACTGGAGCTGGACTCCGGCACCAAATGCTAACAACATTCCGTCTTTGAAAATAAAGTAGGGCCAGGGACTTAGCTCAGAGGTTCCGGCATCTGCCTCTCAAGCGCAAGATCCCAAGTTCGATCCCCGGGTACCAAAAAAAAAAAAAAAAAGTAAAGTAATGGTACTGAATTCATAGCGATACTATGAAAATTAAATGAGATAGATTTCTACCTTAGGCAACAAAAGAGTAATGTGTACTGGACTAATCTTTATGCTAAGAAAATCTATAAAAGAGGAATTTTCAAAATAAATTTTTGAGAGCATCTGACGGTAACTAAGGCAGCCAGAACTCAAAGGGCCAATGTTTGGGAAACCTTGGAGCACCTGTTGTTTTGTATAGAAGCCAAGTAGAGAGTAGTGTTCTAGAACTTAGTGAAGTCCTTTAGAGTTAGGATAAAATTTGGAGTTCTGGATGACCAAAGTTACCAGAAACTGATGGTAAAAATAAAATCCTGGAAAAAGGGCTGGTAGAACACTTGCCTAGCATGTGTGATGCCCTGGGTTTGGCCCTCAGCACTGCAATCAATCAATAAACCAATATCCTGGAAAACGGAACCAGAAAGAAATGAATCCAATGTTCTGGACACAGCTTCCCCTTGAGTAATATGATTATGGCAGAGATTATGTCATATAAAAGCAAGAGCCCAAGATCCAGGTAAAAACATGACCTCAAAGTAGCCCTAAACAAACATATAAACAGCTTCAAATCACTCCTAAATAACAAAATCTAAGCACAGGTTGTGAGGGTATCATGGTGCTAAGGAGACAGAAAAGAAAGGCCCTGGTCATTGCGGCAGGCTTTGTCAAGACTACACATGCTCAGATCATTTCTATTCCTGAGAGGGTCCAGATGATCCACCAGTATTCTATCTGTCTAATCCTTCTGTGGAAGGCAAAATAGTCATCCCTAAGGCTTTTCACACAGAGTTTCCAGCATCCAAACCAAAATTACCAACCATGACAAAAAAAGAGCATCAAAGGGCTAAAAGTCAAGAAAATAGATCACAGAAAGACTCATTGGTTATCCACATCCTAGAATCAGCAGACACAAGCTTTAGAATAACTATGACTAATATGTTCTGAAAAACAGGAGGTGCTAAATTTTACCATAAAACTAGAATCTATAAGGAAAGAAATTCTATAACTGTAAATTAAC